ATTGTATAGTATACCACGAGGCACTAGAACAACTGTTATCAGGACTCGTATTAGCCTAAGGCTTCGCTTTCCATACTGAAATCTCTATGATACGATTCGTAGCACGGTGAAAAGACGCGGAGGTACGAATAAAAATAAAGATTTCGGGTCAAGGCGAGGAGAGTTAACACAGCGATATCTGGATGGATCGGCCACCGAGGCCTACTCTTTTCAAACCTGACCAAAAGAGTGGTTGCTCCCTTGGAAGCCGCAATCTTCGGATAAAAATCGCCACGAGAACGCATCGAGAGGGTAAGCCTAGACGAGGGTAGAAATTATGGTGCGTTTAAACCAAATTCGAAAAATGATCAATGAAAATCTTGAGTGAATGACCATCGGTCAATTTTAATTATACCAACTTAGATTGAATTGTTTTACTTTTAAATTTGGATTAAAAATTCCGATACGATGTATTCAGTCAAACCTTTTAAGCAAAATTACTTATTTATAATTTAAGCAAAATCCTGAATGAATGAGCTTTGCAAATTTTAATCATACGAACATAGATAGAATTTTTTTGCTTTTAAATTCAGATTAAAAATTTCTATATGATGAATTCAGTCCAATCTTTCAAGCAATATTACTCATTACTAAAAAATTGTTTGCAACTGTATTAAATTAAATCACAGGGCTCAGTATTTGTTTCATGAATCTGTGAATTGTTAAAAGTGCTCGTTGAATTTGAACTTCAGTCAACTATAGAAAGAAGGAGCATCCGCTCGTTTGGTCTAAACGCACCTTTACAGGGATGAATGAAAAGGGCGCCCAGAGAATGAAATGGAAAGGGGAGCGTAAAAGGGGCATTAAATTTAAATTGCTCGTATCTCGGCGCGCGAAACTTCAAGAGGCGGCGCGGCGTCATCAAAAAAAATGGAAAGGCGTAGGTAGTAAAAAAGACGGCCGCGATGCGTATCCCTGTCCCATGCGCGAGAGATTACACACCGCGGAACGCAATTCCTAGCGACTATCGACGAGATAGATCGGGGTTACGGTTTTCTCCCATCGCTCAAAGAACTACTTAGGTATTCCATATCCTCTATTTATTCGACGATATTCACTACTCTTTCTAAAAATTCCACCTAGAAGTCCTGAATGTATCCACTTCTAAAGTAAAATAAGACAAAGTCTATTACCAACTTCTTTTTAGTATCTTTCTTTGCATCAGTGATTATTAATTATTATTAATTTGAATTCAAATTAGTGATCATTAGTGATGAAAATGGGTTCCTATTCCGTTTGAAAATACTTTAGATAAACTCTTATCGAGACTGCGAAAACGCGTACATAAATTGTCGTTGGAGATATTCATAAAATAAAAACAAAGTTCGCAACGAAGAATTTAACAAGGTGTAAAAAAAAAATAAAAAACAATGTTTCTGTAGTCATCTAATACACGGTGCTCGAGATTGTGTTTTACAAAATTACAACAGCAGAGATTGCCTGATTAAAATTGAACCTGTTTAAATAACTGAATTTTATATTTAGCAACGGGATAAAATAGTCGCCGCTCGTATACGTGGAAAGAAATTAGTCGCGAAAGTAGGTATGTAGTCAGAGATAAAAAGTAATTACTCAAGCGTGACTGAGCTATTTACCTGTATAACTACGATACGAAACTCGTTTCATGCTTAGCCATTCAATATTAATTTTAACTTCTCTCATAACAAACTAAGGATCTACTATTAAAAATAAACATAAAGTGTAACGAAAAATTAAGCTACTTCTATTATGTGTCGAATGACAATCAAATTTACTAAAGCAAACGTCACGGTTTACAAGGTTGCTGAAACGCGATTAAACAGAAAAACTGCCAACGACAGGTGGATGGAAAGGTGAGCTCGGAAGAATAACAATTTTTCATATTTTAACCGGAGAGCATCGCGAGATTGCGCCGAAACAGAACGAAATTCTGCGAATGAATTATTCACGAGGATATCTCACCCCGGCTACGAAAACGGCGGTCAAATATTTTTTCCCTCCTCCCGTTTCTTTCTGCGAAATTAAAAAATCGAGCCGCGAGTTTCGAAACACGCGTAAAAGGGTTCGGCGCTTTTTAGGCTTCCACAGTGGCCCGTGAAAATATCTAAAGCATAATTTCTATAATAAGAACTTTATATACAGGGTGACATATTATTGTCTCTCTAATGCTAGTGACAATTTCAATCTACTCTATCATTTACATATGTATATGTATAATAATGTATAGCAGTTTTCAAGTTTGGGACTTGTGAGTTCTTCAATCACCTTGACTTGCATTTTTCTGAGGATGCATTTACATTTTAACAGATGTTAGTGTGAAAGTGAAGATGATTTCCCTGCCATGTTGTAAGTTGTTTATATAAATCAAATGATATAATACTTTCATCAAAGGAAGTATGCGATGTAATAAATTATTGACGAGATAATAAATACTTGAGTAAAAAGATTTGCAGTTTCTACTATACATGCGTATGTACATGCATGCTATAACAAACTTTCTTGAAACGTTATTAGTATTATTATATCGTGATCCCGTCTCATTACAGAGTGAAATTTCAAGAGATTTAGAGAAATATATTCATGAACGATTCTATGATAAGTGCGGATACTTTCGCGAGCCACTGCAGGTACCGTCTGGGCGTAACTACGCAATGGGCACCGGAGCCCGCGAGGAATATTGGAATCTGGACCAGCAGCTTGCGCGAGACATCGCTGTCTCGTGTATGCATATTCCTCTCGCTTCGTATTAACGTAAGTTCCAGTCGCGATATGCTCTTTGATGTCGCGGACTAAATTCCCAGCTACGATCTTTTAATAATTTAAAGAAAAAAAAATCGTTCAACACCCGAGAGTATTGGAAGATGCAAATATTTGCTAAATCGCTTTTCAATGTGCCAGAATAATATCGAACTGTATTACATTGCAAGGATATAGTGCTTCTAAAAGTTAAATTGTACAAAAATTGTCTATAAAACTGTGTAATTTTCTTGTTAAATATTTAAATCAATTTGCTGATTTTGTTAATATAAAAAACGTGACTCTCCTCCCGTGGGAGTTGCACAAGAATGCTTTTGGTCAGCTCGTGGAATTTACCCAAGCCCACCTCGGTAACGACATTAAATTTACAACGATTCACGCGGCGCATACCGTTAGACTTCAAGTTTTCCCTCGTCTGACACTTGAAGCTAGCCTGGCCGACGGGTATATTCTTGTGCAATCGCAGTTTATATGTCAACGAACGACATTTCCCTTCGCCTTCATCTGAATCGCAATATTATCAGAGTTATCGCATTACCATCGAAATTAACTATCTTCTATTTATTTACTCAAACCATTTGACATCGAAAACTCACAATTCGAGGTGTTTACCATTCGAATATATTAAGAAATTTAACAAATGCACAGTCGGATATTTTTTTATCAATATTAAACATGCCTATTCAATTCTAATGTTCTATATTATTAATCAGTATGAATATTCAATGGAACTCCGCAAACTTCATTATTCATTCTGCATTCAAAAGCTCAAGACTCGTGCAATTATCTCCTGAATTGGAACTATGAAAATCATAGCGTTTGGACTATAACGAAAACTAAGCAAACTCAAACATTTAAAACGTTAAAAAATTCATGAAGTGTCAGTAAAATATTCAGGGGAACAATAACACAGCCAAATTAGAAACGGATTATGCTAATCATTGATTGTGACATAAAGCACATTAGCTACGGTCGAGAGATGAAGTTAACTAAGCGGCTTGTTGGACTAACGATTCCGTTAGCATTACAGAAAAACGATCGGGAAGCGCAATTACGGTAAATAGACACAAAGGGGATTTCTATTCGCGACACGGTTCACTCATCTCGTCGCCAGCTTGCTTCCTCCTCGCTGCATCGCGTCGCGTCGGTTACCGTGATTTTTAACGAGCACTCGTTACAAACCACTTTCTAACGCATCGACGTATCCGTGCATTATCTTCACGGTACAAAAGCACAGCGCAACGATGGAAGAGAGCCGCGCTATGTCGCCCATTCCTTATCGAACGAATGTGCACGAATTCGCAAACGAAATCGTTTTCTAAATACGGGTCCCGCAGGCGAACTTCTGTCTCTCTTTTTTTTTCACTGACAAATTCTTTAACTGAGCAACGAGCTTTCTTGTATTGACTTTATTTTAGCTGTATAAAAACTACATCTACTATAATATTTCCATGCATTATTTTTTTACACACATTACTTACAAGCTCTGGTATATTTTTAATTGATATTTTTCTCCTTTTGATATAAACACATTGAACTTTTAACTCTTCATTTTGCGGAAATCTCAAAATTTGTACGTTTGAGCTATCACCAAAATTGGCATTGCTCTTGGGAAAACAATGTTCATTAACTATTTCGAAGTAATTATTTAATAATTACTAATGAAAACTAACAACAGTTATTGACTGACTGATTGAAGTAATTGTACATGCTAAACACACTGGAATTGAAGGCCGCTTAACAGTGGCGTCATACCGAAGCTATTAGACTTTATCATAAATGTGATGTTTGTAATCACCTCCACGTAGAGAACTGGGTCGATCACGTTCCCTAAGTCCCTTATGTTCCCTCTTTCGAACTGGTACCAAACGTCTAGTTTAGGATCCGTGTATCTTAAATTGTACGTTGATCTTTCAATTATTCAATGCATATGCTAATGAATATTACGACGAAAACAGCTGATTCTATTTCGCTGAAATAAAAGTCGAACGAACAGTAGAAAAATGCATTTTGTTTTCTAAATTTAAATTCAATCGGCCACTGTTCATGATCAGAGGACGCTCGAATCAGTCTTAATTTCTTGTGTCGGTATCGCAGTTTGGCAGTCGAACATCAGAGATAAGAGTCCATCCAAAGCGATAAGTCCTCCCTTCTGGTATTTATCGTCTATCACAATTACTTTTTTTTTAAATTAATTCAGAAAAGTCTATTATCGAGCGAGAATAAATTCTACTCGCACCTACAGGATCGATTTTAGCAGATGGTGTTCTAGTCGCGAGAACGCTTACGAAACGTGAACCTGACATCTAACGAAGTCGCAGTGTCGGCGACGGAAAGGGAAATGACTTTTTGACAACAGCAAGGAGCACCGATTAAAAACCGACATATTCCGGAGTGATTTCGCCGTCGCATTTATCGGTGACTACGCAATCAACTCTAACGATATCAACGTGACAACGTGTGGAAAAAGGAGAGAACAAGTTTCACGATGCGTCAAAAGCGACAGCTTTAACATTATCGATTATTATGAACCACCTTAACGAACAAAAATGTACCCTTACTACTGGTCGTTAATTAACGCGTGGAATGAAAGCGAGGAAAGTCGAATGGGTTTAAATCTAACATGACAACAGTTACCTTCCATTTATGCTGGTCATCGGATATTTACATCATTGATTAAAAAATAATCGTACGACAAGGAGACATACGTGTATATACGGTTGTAAATCTCGTAGAAGTTAGACAGGAGTTTCTAAGTTAAACTAAATAAGGATGGGATCGGAACAGAGTTCTCAAGGAGGTGCACATGGAAACACCAGTAGATCGAGGAACATCCCTTTGAGACGCGGTAAGAGTGTACCGAACCGCGAGAGAGTACCAGAAGACACACCGCCGAGATGTATCAGTCCCGGTGCTAGCATTTGCTCCGATTCGGATCTACCATATATATCTTATACTGTAAACAGGCCGATCGGCGACTCTCCAAAGATGACGAATAAACAGTCGCAGTTATACAGAGGGAAAAGTTTGGGCGCGCAAGATATATCTAGACGTAAAAATAGTTTAGGTTCCAGGTAAAAATGATTGATTTTATACTAACAGGAAGTTTTAGAAACGTAGTACAATCATTGTTTGTTACAGGAAAACTACCTCCAATAAAGTACACGACATAGTAGTAGTGAAACCAGCTACGGCGGATCCCACGACAGACAAGGATCCAGATCTGGTCAAGTTGCAAAGCATTCCGATGTTCCTACCGATAATGAGAGGCACACTGAATTTACCGCCGGGAGTCAGAGACCCAGAGGTGCTCGAGAGACTGAATCCCATCGGTTTGTTCAACCTGTGCGCCCGGTATCAACATCATCTGAACACTAACGCTCAAATGATAGCCAGCGAACAGGCTACTCTGTGCGTGAACATCGAACCGGAGGTGACCAGGATGCTGAATCTGGCAACCGAGAGGCAAAGGAAGTTTGCCAAATTCGCGGAACAATTGAACAAAGTACAAGAGCTCAGTAAGCAGCTGACTAAATGTCATTCACTTCTGAATCAGACTCTAGAGAGCCTCGAGACGTTGAACGATCTCTTACCGATAGAGGAGAGGCTGGAACCGTTCGTTTGGACTACTGGATAAGGAGATGTTAATATTTCGAACGATAACTTGCTCTGCAAGCATACTGCACTGGTGCTAAGAGATAATTTCGATACTAAAACCTGTTGAAAGACTTTTTATTTACGTTTTTCATTCTACCCTAGCTCAACTTTGTTACTAACTGTCAAAAATGTTTGACACCTCACACGTATATTGCACAGAAATCTACCTATTTTCGTGTTAATCCTAAAAGTTATATAATTGTATAAAACGAGATGCGATGTTTAATTTGAAAAATATAGAGAGATTTCCTATGGTAAAAGTTTTATATTTTATTCAAATAAAAAGTGGTAAATTCCATGGTCACAACAAAATGATTCATAGCAACCTTATAAACGTGACGAAATAAAAAATAGAAAATAACAAAAGTCAATAATTTTTAAATGTTTACGTACCCTAGGTGCCAACACTGGCAGACCGTTGCGCTTTCAGTCTTCTGTATGCTACTATAATATCACTTTGCTGTTTCTCTAATTGTCTTCTTTCTCCGGCCGGCAGATCTTTACGCTTACCAGTCCTGTTTATAGATTTTGTCTCCTTCGAAGCTGTTTTCGGCTTCTCGCTTTTCTTAAGCATCGAGTGAAGAAGGAGATGCTTCTTCCCAGGCTGCAACAGAAACAAACAAAATTTGATTAATGCATGAAATGTATTAAAACAATAAAAATTAATGTAATAGGATGTACTTTAGAGGTACTGATAGCATCTGCACTTTTTGGTCTGACATTCAATTGAGGTGGTTCATGAACGATCTCTCCGAATTCGACTCGGTCCTTAAACCTATCAAATTCGTCTACATTTTCCTCGAATTGCTTCTGCTTCTTCAATTTCAACTTCTCTTTCCTCTTTTCACTTTTAGTCATTTTCGGAGCATCTGGATTACTCTTCTTCTTCTTCTTTTTAATGTTCCTGTGCTTCGCTCTCAACATCTCGATTTTTTCCAACTCGGATTGTTCACAGTTCGAGAGTCCCTCTATTTTCCCCGTTACAGGATTCCGATTTACTTGAACACTGAATTTCTTCTCGAACGCGGTTTCATTGATAAAAGCGTGAGTATCCCTGTTGACTCTGTACAGAAATCGTTGCTCACTCTCTCCAGGCATCTGCCGAAATATCGGGACGACTTTATCCGGCCTGGCCTTCGGATGCGAAGGCGTAGAATTCCCGCCGCCGACAGATATGAGTGCATTCTTCTTCTTCTTCCTCTTTATTTTCGTCAACCTTCCTGACTTCACCGCTTCCTTCAATTTGACCACTCTTTCCAAACTTTTCGGTATCGCTTGTTCCGATGCATCCTTCGGCGGCGCGTTTATCTTCGTTTCTAACCTATCAAGCAGCGAGTTACTAACCCGTGAAAATAGATTGCTGAAATAAAGCTTATTCTAAACGCACAACTCACTCTGCCTGTCGTTTCGCCTGCTGCTTCAGAGGATCTTTCACCCCCCTATGCTTTTTACCAGGAATTTTTCTACCCATTTCTTTTACAAATTCGAGAAAACAACGAAACACGACACTTTCACGTGGCCGACACGACACTGTCGTCTGCAGTCGTCTGCTTGAAAATATGAATGACGCGCGGCGCGAACGTACAAAAGTATGAATGAGTGGGGCAAGCCGTTCACGCCCGAATTCCAACGATTGTAGAAATTATCCATTTAAATGTCACAATATAGCGAACATAATAATTGATGTAATATTAAGCAAAATAGGAAAGAGAGAAAAAGAATGTGTGAGAGAGGAGTGAAAGAAAAGAATGAGTGAAATTAGATAGTAACATTATTATTAGTATTATTGTTATTGTATATCACGTATTAAATTGGTGGAACTATTTAAATCTTTAAATCATGTGCATACATACACATATGTATGTGTTAAAGATATGCAGCGCATTTACAACCAGAGCCACCTACAAAACATTTTACTCGTGATAAGCACAAGTGTATTTGCAGTGAGGTTAGAAAACGATATGTTTGACGTTTTATTAAACATCTATTTATCATTTATTATCGTCCATTGTAATCTAACGTGAAACACTAACCAGTACGATAATATTATCTGTAAAATAACATCACATATTTGTTGCGTTCACAAGTGTACTATTCCCGCAGGTATAAAAAACAAAAGAATGATCAATTTGATTCGATTGATTAATCAAAATCGGGGATGTAATTGTCACCAAATATGTTCCGCGTGTAAAAGATGTATTCATGAAACAAGTAGAATATTATCGTCCGACGGGGATACCACGGAAAAACCCGAGACGACAGATCCCTCTTCTACAGATGATATGTCGGAACCGACGAATTGTTGCATGTCCGGTTGCGTAAACTGCGTTTGGATTCAATACGCGGAGAAATTAAGCGCGACCCTTGAAAAGAGCGACGCGGACGTGCAGAAATTAATTCTAGACAAAGTACAGGATCCCAACATGAAGACGTTCCTTTTGATGGAACTCAGACTTCGAAACCTGATCAAGGATTAAGGAATATTGTATATAAAATTTGTATATATGTACATATGTGTCAGACAGTCCAATCTTAGAGAATAAATTTTAATTATTTAATTGTGCGTATTTAATTCCCTCCCTGAATATCAGTCATCATTTTTGAATCATGTCCAATTGCGGCACGTGCATGTACAGCGTCAACCATTCTTGTATCTGACAACAGGAGCTACAACTTTTGTTTGAAACACTTTTCGCTGGGACGAGAGAAAAGTTTTTACAGTAAACAATTTTATTTATTANTATACCATATGAAGTAAAAGAGAGGAGAATGAACTCTTAAAATTAAATCATAAAATCGCGCCCTACGTTTATCTATTGCCTGTCGCCCCAAACTCATCGGTGCGCCCACCGAGAAAATACGAATAGTTTTCCAGATGGCGGGAGATGTACAAAAGCGATCTAAAATTGTACATTTATAATTGCCATAAGAGAACCTCCGGCAGATTTCTAAAATTTATTAACGAATGAAACACCTTAAGAAATTAGTTAGAATAGCAAGAGAATTCCACGCAGTAATACAACAAAGGAGAGACGACAAAGAAATAACCAAATAAATTTTGCATTGAATTTCAATCAATAATCTTGGACTTACTTCTCTCGGCTAATTTTATCAAATTTTGTGATGTGTCAATCATTTACGGGTGTCAATGAATGCTGGTCGAAGTGCAAGGCTGCTCGGGCGAGTAGTTCATTTAGTGACAATATTCCAGCATTTGCGCACCGTTTACATTACTTGTTCGCTTATTTACATTGCATACATAATGGATAAAGCCACTTGTGCCTCTTACGCCAATCGGGAGAACGTGTGACACGTACGAGCGAATGTGGGAGGCTCGTTTCTCTATTTGCGCCGCTACTGCGCTGCGAATACGGAAATTCGTCTTTCCCACTAAATAATGGATTTTTACAAAAACCGCTGTTTTTCGGAAACAATATTCTAATAGGGAACATATCTACTTCCGGATTCAAGCTATATAAGAATCACGTAGTGGATATCGCAAAAAGAATTTTGCTTTTTACAGTGATATTAATTTTCAGTATGCAAGACTCCCAACGAATAGCAACAGAATGTTTGTATTGAATAGAAATAACAGTGTTTAATGACAATGCATTATATCAATGGTAATGTTTGTAGATTATGTTATCAAGGCCGGAAATGATAAGGATGAATTGTTAAATTGCCACGAGTAATTACGTAAACGAACTCTAATATTCTCTGTGATTATTAAAATAAATTCCAAGTTTATTTAGTTATTGAACGTTTGAGAATCCCGATTAGAACGGTTTCCCATCTGGAACCGTTCGCCACTGCCAAGAAACTGCTGCGAATCAACAAACCTCGTCACTTCGTGAAAATGGGGCCCGTTAACTATAAACGGATAGAATACAAAGCCGTTTGTTATAACAAGCGAAAAGGTTTTAATCACAATGAAATCATTCGACTTCTAGGTGTTTAAACAGAACTCAATTTCGATTGCGCACACACACGAGTTATAAACGATCTTCCAACCGTTCATTAATCGCAGTCCATTCAAATATAATGCGCAGAATCTTTATATAAATCATTTTCTAGTCGAAACAGATATTAAAGTTGTATGAACCCTTACATAAAAACAATGACAAAGCATTGAAATTTTTACAGTTATTAGACATTACGTTAGTAAAACACTGTATAAAATTTTAGGAATTTTGAGAGCCTATTAAAAAAGTTATCACATCTTGAATTCTTATGTCGAATGACAGAATTTTGATTTCATTTATCTTCATATTTTCATTTTCTCAATGTTTCATCAAAATCGATGGAGGTATAAAACTGTTAAAAGTACAAACAGGTAAAAATTCTTTAATTTATCTCACTCGAAACACTCACACTCACAATCAGCCTCGAAACAGATAAAAATACTTTAATTTATCTCACTCAGTTGTAAACTAAAAGTCTTGGAAAGAGATTCCAATAAAAAAGTTTATATTTTTCTTTGCAATTTCGACGAATAAAAATTGTTAACAAACATTCCATAATAAACTGTCTTCTTACATTCTACAAAAATATTGTTTGGTCCAAGTTATTCCATCATAAAATGCGTTAACTTAATATCCGTTTCGACTGCATATCTAAAGACGAACAAGTATGAATCAGCGGTGGAAAAATCGAGCAATGGGGAAGTATATTTAAAAAATTTTCTATTTTATCTTTGATGAAAGAAAGAAAGCCGTCGGGTAAAAAGTGGGAATAAAAATTAGCGTCGAAACGTACTCGAGCGGTACCGCACAATCTTATCTCCGAGTCTGCCCACATGTCAAGTCTTTCTATTACCAGCATGCTCTTACACGACTCTATTTCCATGCGGCACGCACGTCAGTGTGCGCCGCGTTCTCCACTCGTAAGTACAGTCCATTCTGCAACAACGTTCGCGAATAATGCAATCGAGCAATAAAAAATTTCCATAGCAGCTAATTAATTATGAACTCGATCATTCGGCTGTCTAGACTACGTGTGTATATTGATCAATCATTTAAATTAGAAATGCGTTCGTTGTGTGCTGAACACAGGACGGACTGTACGACCACACACGTTCGCCAGCTAGCAGGCTACGTAGCAGCGAAGTGGCACGAACACACGTGCGCGTAGCCGGTCGGTCGTGTCACACAATCTCAAAGACATTTTATGAAAACGGTGTGGGTGACTCGCGCGTGTGCGTGGATTATTTTCGCTTATGCCGCGCGGCGCACGCAATCTCAGAAGTGGCTCTCGCGTTGACAGCTACCGAACGATTCCCAGTTTTCGCCGGTTCCCTCGGCTATTCGGCTCGATTCCACAGATCTGTACCGTCGGGACCGCGGGAGGAAGACCCGGCCGCGGTGTTCATATTACGCAACGCGACGGACGTGATACCGCGCGGGACGTCGTCGTCGTGGAGAAACGAGCGGAACGACAGGAAGAACGCCGGGAATTATGAATGATACTCGCGACTCGGGTGACCGCGAGACGGGAACACGGGAACCCAGGCTGGAAATAGCGTGCAATCTCCGGACGGATACGTACGAGGCGAATGGACAAACACGCTCGTCGCATGCATCGTTCGTTATGCACCGACGCGCCGTCGTTCAATTGTGACGAAGAGAAAACTGGGACCGGTTCGCCGATTAGCAGAACTTTCGTCCGACTGGCAAATACGATTTCAATTAAGAACCGAGCGATCGGTGAAAATCCTTGAACAAGGGATTGCTCGAAGTTTAAGGAATTCACTAGTGAACTGTGACGGATGAACAATTGACTGTGCAAAGGAGACGCAAAACGTTCGTGAACTGTCAGATAAAAAAGGGTAAATTAAAACAGAAAATGTGTACCTTGGCAATCAGTGGGAATCTCCGATAGGACAGTTTGCCATGCACTAACTCTGCGACCGGAGATTACCTGGAGACCGACGTCGATTTTTTCAACATAATATCGCGTTCACGATGGACGGTTACAGGAAAGTGATAAGAATGACGAAACGGGCCGGGAATAAACGATAGAATGTACTTAAGCGTGCGATCGCGGTGTACGAGAAATCGTACGGGGCGCGCGGTCGAGGCCGTGGAACTCGGTCCGGTCGTTCGAATTTTAACGCGTGTGTCACGTTTTGCATTGCAAACGGTGGAACTTAACGCTCTCCGTATTGGTCTACTGTCTACTCCGCGTAATTCAGTACAACGGTGCCTCGCGATAATCTCTTATCAAATCGTGATACGCGATCGAAATATGTATTACGAAATTTAAAAAAAAGCCACTGAAAATACTTCCGAATGGACGCCTAAGACTTACTGGACTAACAATGATTAAATGATATATTTGAACTTTGTTCGATCTCCGATGCTATCTGTCATAAGTTTTTTCCGACCTCGAGTGTGCAACTCTTCTGCCACTACGAATTGTGTGCAGTAATAGTTACTAAATATACTTTATTCATTGTGAGCGACAATTATCGTTCACTGGTAATCGGAAACTTAATTCACAAGCGTAGAAACGTGTGTTAGTTTATCCTGCAGCTATGCAGTCTTATGACAGTACGTATATCGAAACAAATGTGCCATTGATACAATAGTCTTCCTTTAATTGAAAGGAGAAAATTTGTCAATCATATAATTGGAGAGGTACAAACTGAATCTGCACTTGAGAAAAGAAGCGAGCAATTTATAAATATAGAAGAGACACGAGAGAGGAGAGACAGTCGTCGAGCGAAATGCTAATGATAGAAAAGGATTCGCTCGCTGTGGACGAAGGTACAAACGAGGAATCGGATGAGCGTACGACGCCCACCACGGAGCCATTGAACGAGTTACTGGCAAACACCACCGCGACGATTCCACCGGTCGCGGTCAAACTGTGCGACGATTCCGCGGACGAGATCACCGGAAGGGGAAACAACGAGAAACAGAAGCAGAAGGGTATCCTTAGTAATTTCCAACGGAGGACGTTCAGTAGGATCAGCTTCAAAGGGGAAACCGGACCTCTACTGAGCAGGTGGATCTTTCTTTTTATTTTTTTTTTATAAAAACATTTTATGTTATATCGCTTTGTATTTTTCTTGCCAGCTGTATATACACTTCTGTACTATCTTGTGCATACAGATTGATTCACCAAAAATTATTAGAAGTCGAGATGGTAATATCTAGTGAATCACCCTGTAAATACATAAATAGAAAAAATTAATTTCAGTCGAGATAATGAATATGTCAAATTAATTCTATGTCATACTGAATAATTACTCTGAGTTATCTGTATTATAGTGCAGAAAAACCTATAGAATCTCATTTTGAGAAATACTCATGTCTTTCATATTTTTATTGTGCGCCCGCCTTCAAAATAACTCACAAGAATGTGTCTCTCTATCTCAACTATTCAACATTATTTATAAACCCTCTTTGCTACTTATAATAACAGCAAAGAACATCGAAGTGATGAACCACCTTGTGTAATTCTGTATCATGTATTCATATCATAATTCAAACAGTGAATCAGTTCAAATCAATGAGATTTAGAATGCAGAGTTCTGACGTTGATAGATTATAAAATGTATAGATTGATCGACGATATATTGACGAATTTGTGGAAAATTTTAATGCATGTCTGCATGTTTTCAACAAAAGATAAGAATACTTACAGAATACTGATAATTCGATCAACCTTATAAAAATATTAATTAAAATGGGGAAAACTCTGTTGTACTTTATTCAATATTGTATCAAGATTCATTATTACTCCATTTGAAAGTATTAGAAGGAGGGACGAAGAAATAAGCATAGATAATAGCACGTGTTTAGTTTAAAATATATGCTTTGAAAAAGTAAATGTAATTACACAGAGCTGAAAATTACACAACTCTTCAATGCATTTTCAATGTTTACTAAGCAATTTAAAGTCAGATACAATATAATATATATTACAAAACCTAAAATGCAACTAAGAACCTGTGTACGAAGACATTGTCACATGTAGCGAACAAGTGCACGAAGTTCAGGACAACCCTCAAACGGAGGTATACAGCCCGGGTTTTTCCTACTATGGGGGTCTCAGGTAGTCGCTTCAGTTTTACAAACAAAGAAACTACGACCAATCATTGGTCGTCTCCTCAAGCAAGTGAGAAAAGTCTCGAACTTTTGTAATTATACGTCGAAATTACATGCTACCCTCGACTTCCATTCGGTTCTAACCAGTCGAAGTGATCGTATCAAATTGGACAGAGTGTCGGGACGTAAAAAATTGTATTTCTGAGGTTTAATCGGGAAGTGAGTTTATTGAAAAACCATGACATTTCTCAACTGGCGCCATTCTTTCAACTGTTTGCTGTGAGTATATTCATTTATTTATACAAGCAATGGATGTAAATTATTTTAACGAGCTTAGGAGTATTGTGATAAATCTGTATCAGTGAACAATACTATATAGAGAGCATTTATTATTATAAGTAAAAATAGATGTTTAGGATACTTAAACCCAAAATAATTATTACTGCCATCGAATGAAAAGAAATAAGCAAAATCGTACAAAGTAAAATGTTTTTTAAACAGATTGTAAAGAATATAGGGAAAGATAAGAGGGGACGGGACAGTAGTTGAAGGAAAATAAATATAGAAGAGACACGAGAGAGGAGAGACAGTCGTCGAGCGAAATGCTAATGATAGAAAAGGATTCGCTCGCTGTGGACGAAGGTACAAACGAGGAATCGGATGAGCGTACGACGCCCACCACGGAGCCATTGAACGAGTTACTGGCAAACACCACCGCGACGATTCCACCGGTCGCGGTCAAACTGTGCGACGATTCCGCGGACGAGATCACCGGAAGGGGAAACAACGAGAAACAGAAGCAGAAGGGTATCCTTAGTAATTTCCAACGGAGGACGTTCAGTAGGATCAGCTTCAAAGGGGAAACCGGACCTCTACTGAGCAGGTGGATCTTTCTTTTTATTTTTTTTTTATAAAAACATTTTATGTTATATCGCTTTGTATTTTTCTTGCCAGCTGTATATACACTTCTGTACTATCTTGTGCATACAGATTGATTCACCAAAAATTATTAGAAGTCGAGATGGTAATATCTAGTGAATCACCCTGTAAATACATAAATAGAAAAAATTAATTTCAGTCGAGATAATGAATATGTCAAATTAATTCTATGTCATACTGAATAATTACTCTGAGTTATCTGTATTATAGTGCAGAAAAACCTATAGAATCTCATTTTGAGAAATACTCATGTCTTTCATATTTTTATTGTGCGCCCGCCTTCAAAATAACTCACAAGAATGTGTCTCTCTATCTCAACTATTCAACATTATTTATAAACCCTCTTTGCTACTTATAATAACAGCAAAGAACATCGAAGTGATGAACCACCTTGTGTAATTCTGTATCATGTATTCATATCATAATTCAAACAGTGAATCAGTTCAAATCAATGAGATTTAGAATGCAGAGTTCTGACGTTGATAGATTATAAAATGTATAGATTGATCGACGATATATTGACGAATTTGTGGAAAATTTTAATGCATGTCTGCATGTTTTCAACAAAAGATAAGAATACTTACAGAATACTGATAATTCGATCAACCTTATAAAAATATTAATTAAAATGGGGAAAACTCTGTTGTACTTTATTCAATATTGTATCAAGATTCATTATTACTCCATTTGAAAGTATTAGAAGGAGGGACGAAGAAATAAGCATAGATAATAGCACGTGTTTAGTTTAAAATATATGCTTTGAAAAAGTAAATGTAATTACACAGAGCTGAAAATTACACAACTCTTCAATGCATTTTCAATGTTTACTAAGCAATTTAAAGTCAGATACAATATAATATATATTACAAAACCTAAAATGCAACTAAGAACCTGTGTACGAAGACATTGTCACATGTAGCGAACAAGTGCACGAAGTTCAGGACAACCCTCAAACGGAGGTATACAGCCCGGGTTTTTCCTACTATGGGGGTCTCAGGTAGTCGCTTCAGTTTTACAAACAAAGAAACTACGACCAATCATTGGTCGTCTCCTCAAGCAAGTGAGAAAAGTCTCGAACTTTTGTAATTATACGTCGAAATTACATGCTACCCTCGACTTCCATTCGGTTCTAACCAGTCGAAGTGATCGTATCAAATTGGACAGAGTGTCGGGACGTAAAAAATTGTATTTCTGAGGTTTAATCGGGAAGTGAGTTTATTGAAAAACCATGACATTTCTCAACTGGCGCCATTCTTTCAACTGTTTGCTGTGAGTATATTCATTTATTTATACAAGCAATGGATGTAAATTATTTTAACGAGCTTAGGAGTATTGTGATAAATCTGTATCAGTGAACAATACTATATAGAGAGCATTTATTATTATAAGTAAAAATAGATGTTTAGGATACTTAAACCCAAAATAATTATTACTGCCATCGAATGAAAAGAAATAAGCAAAATCGTACAAAGTAAAATGTTTTTTAAACAGATTGTAAAGAATATAGGGAAAGATAAGAGGGGACGGGACAGTAGTTGAAGGAAACCAGAAAACTATAAAAGCTCTCAATAATAAAACTTCGAAGCTCGGTTGAAATTTTCGCAGATCTCGTTTCTGGGATGAGTAAAAATCAAGCGCGCCGCAAGAACAACAGTGCGTGTGCATGCGCCAGTAGGATCCATGTGGAACCGCTTCGGGATCCACGGGATCGACGGCGCCAAATGATTTTCGATAGGCGCCGTCAAAAATATACAAGTGGAAACTGGATCACATACGGTCGAAAATTCATGGCATCGTACGATTTAGTATTAAATTAACAGCAGATGAATCAAATCTGTATATTACTTATAATAAACAGTATTAAAAAATAATAACAAGCCAAAGACATTTCTATGTGCATTCGATTTTTTTTTAAATGATATAATTTTATTTTGAGAAGACAACTCTTTAAGACGATTTACGATTTTTATGTTTGACGATACCGAATGTTGATATAAATCAAATGTTGCTAAGTTTGTTACAAATACTTCCAGTAAAATTGACGAATGGAGAGCGATTTTTAATTTAATCGACTGTGCATGGGTGGTTTGCGACCCCGCGAAAATAGCGGCTGTTCCCGTTTCCCTGCCGCGATCGGCAGAAATCCCGATTTTCTCGTTACGAGAATAGAACCGTCTAATTCCGGAAGACGGCTCACCCTATGTCTGCTCAATATTGGCTCGGTAGTGAAGCGAATACCGATTTTTTAATTGTAGGAAGCATTTCTGCATTCTATTTCCTTTTATATCAATTCACCCCAAGATTTTTACTTCTACTATTAGAAATGAATATTACTTAAGGTTGTACGAACCCTTACATAAAAACAATGATAAAGCATTGAAATTTTAACAGTTACTAGATATTACATTAATAAAAC